TATTTATATTTATATTTATATTTATATTTATATTTATATTTATATTTATATTTATATTTATATTTACATAGATATTTATATTTATATTTATTTATATAAAGCTGCCTATACACCTGAAATATTCGTTAGAATTTGTTTTTTTTTTTTTTCGTGTTTTCTTCTTTTTAGTTTATTCTTCTTTGATTTATTTTAATATTTAATTTAATTTAATTTAATTTAATTTAATTTAATTTAATTCATTTTATTTTATTTTATTTTATTTTTTTATTTTATTCTATTTTATTCTACTTTATTTTATTTCTTTTATTTTATTGCATTTTATTTTATTTTATTTTATTTTATTTAATATTATTTTATTTTATTTTATTTTATTTTATTTTATTTTATTTAATTTATTTTATTTTATTTTATTTTTTTTTATATTTTACAGGGGAGGCATTGATTCGTTTGGGTAATCGTCAGCATCGTCGTCTATCGAGTATAAATAAAATAAATAAAAATATAAAAGATATATCTATGCTTCTGTCTCCTTTGTCTCCTCTGTCTCCTCTGTCTCCTCTGTCTCCTTTTTCTTCTTTATATTGTTTAACTAAAGAATGTATAGATGAGCCTGCTGCTGTTTTAAATATATTAAAACCTATACAAAAACTAATCGGAGACAAAAAATATAAAATAATTAAGCAGCAGCTGCTGCAGCAGCCAGCAGCAACATATGCTGCTAAAGTACCACTGCAGCAATTCACTACTGCCAGTAAGAATTTATATAATTTATTTTTATTTATTTTTATTTATTTTTATTTTTATTTGTTTATTTATATTTATTTATATTTGTTTATATTTATTTTTATTTATTTTTATTTATTTATATTTATTTATATTTATATTTATTTAAATTTATATTCATTTATATTTATATTTATTTATATTTATATTTATTCATATTTATATTTACTTATATTTATTTATATTGATATTTATTTATATATATATTTATTTAAATTTATATTTATTCATACTTAAATTTATTTATATTTATTTATATTTATATTTATATATTTATTTATATTTATATATATTTATTTTTATTTGTTTATATTTATTTATATTTATATTTATATTTATATTTATATGTGTATTTATATTTATATTTATATTTATATTTATATTTATATTTATATTTATATTATATATTTATATTAATTTATATTTATTTATATTTATATTTATATTTATATGTATATTTCTATTTCTATTTATATTTATATTTATTAATATTTATTTATATTTTTTTGTGTTTATGCAGGCCACCTAACCCTTGAATATATATCTATGGAGGAGTGGCTATCTGTACTTTCTTCTTTATATACTGATGCTAATATATTATATTTAAATAAAATAAATATAAAAAAAACAATAAAAACATTTCAGTCTATTTGTTTAGAATTAATAAAAAGAAGAATAAAAGATTCACTTGTTGTACTACAAAAAGCTGCAGAACAAATACGTAAACCCTAAACCCTAAACCCTAAACCCTAAAAAACCCTAAACCCTAAACCCTAAACCCTGAATGTGTGTATTTATATTTTTATTTATTTTTTTGTTTGTTTGTTTAGTTGTTTTTTTTCTGTTTTTCTGTTTTTTTGTTTTTTTGTATTGGGAGATGTATTGATGTGTTTTGTTATTGTTTTTATTTTATTATTACTTTATTTTTTTTATTTTCTTTTTATTTATATTTTATTTATTTTATTTTACTTTTTTGTTTTGTTGTTTTATTGTTTTAATTTTTATTATATTTTTTAATTTTATTTAATTTATTTTGCTAACTTTATTTTAATTTATTTTACATATTTTATTTTATTTTATTTTATTTTATTTTATTTTATTTTATTTTATTTTATTTTATTTATTTTATTTTATTTTATTTTTTTATTCTTATCTTTTTATGTATTTTATTTTATTTACTTTACTTACTTTAGTTGCTTTATTCATTTTTTTTGTTTTATTTTTTATTTACTTTATTTAATTTATTTATTTATTTTATTTTATTTATATTTATTTATAT